AGTCTTCAAGGCCCTTGAACTCCTAGATTCAGGAATGCCCCTGGGCTTGGTCTATTGTACAACAGTCTTGAGGGCACTGTACATGTGCTTATTTATCCACCAAAATTAAACACCCAAAATTGAAGATGTCAAAGTAGGACAGGTTCCTCAACGACATGTGTTGACTGGAACTTTTCCACTGAACTGGGCTGTGACCAGGGGCTTGCCATGATCACAACTTACTGTCTTTCCCCCTACCCCTTCCTTCCAGTTTCTGAGGGTAGAAAATAATCTTCTCTGAAGATGCTTGATAACAGTTCCAAAAGACAAAAGCTTATGCTTTTGTACTGTGCTTTCAGATATTCTAGGTCTAGTTCAGCTGATGGATGAGCTGATTGATGTGGTCAACCTGATACCCAGGTGAGCCCATCCCCTTAAGGAAGCCCACTCTATTCTTGGTAGCGTAACGGGCCACAGAGAGGTGGAAAGGACGCAAGAATCTGGAGATCTCCTGGAATTGCTTCCCCGGGGAGGCTATTTCATGAATGAGGTCTTCCAGGCTAATGACACCAAACTTCCCCAGGTGCTCTTCAATCAGTGTTGTCTGTCAAAGAGATGGTCTTATTCTTAACCTTTGCTTGTCCACGTTTCAAGATGAGTTCTCGGACAGACTTCAGATTTGGAAATTCCCAGGTCACATAAGGTTCCAATACACGAAGCATTTTCACGTTTCGGGGAGTGACTGACAAAGACACCACTAAACAATTTCTTTAGACGAAGTCTTGCAATGGTCTTCTTCACCAGTAAACTGACGCCTTCAGTCCTTTGGATGCGCCCAACAAAGGCCAACGAATGTTTATCAGACACTTCCAAAGCACGAGGTTTCACTTCCAGACGTCTGGCACGCACCTTATCGCGTTGCTGTCGCCAGGAATCACGTAGGAATGATTCCAGCTGTTTAAACCAGAACTCTTCGTTTGTTTGTGTGGCTTTGAGGGCTTGATAAGCCTTCCTCTTTTTCAGATTTTCTGGAACCAATGGGATCTTTTTTCTTTCCTCTCCCTTCGCCATCTTTCCAGTGCTGCGGTAACTGCGCATGCTGGGGCTGACTTTAAACTGTGGTCCTCCTGACCTCTGCTGGGTAGCTAGGATTACAGAGGTGTGAGCCACTGGCGCCTGGCAAGAGTATCTTCTAATTAATTGAAAGTTGACTGTACTCAAATTTAGAAATCTAATAATTTCAATGAAAATTTTGCCTGCTTGAGGAATGAAACTGAAAAATTAGTACAATTTGTCGAACAGAGCTCACAATGCAATTCTTCCTTTTGGATCTAGGTATTAAAGTGCTTTTGTTTGAAATAGTTGAAATAAACTAAATTTTCATGAAATGTTACTAATACAGTGGAAAGGCCAAACTGCCCTTTCATTTGATTTTCTTTGTACCAGGTCCTTCTCTTCCATCCCTGGTGACAAATAATGTAATCCTACCACATGGCTTCCAAATTCTATTGTCACTGCACAGACTTTAATACAGGCAAGTCCATAGTGGCTGCTATTTAGAATTATTTTTGGCCCCATTATATTTTATATAGAGCAACCTACCTTGTGACTGGCATTGATTCAGACCTTTCTGTATGGCAATCTCATGGTTTTTAAGATTCAACTAGCCCTGTCAGGGTTTAGTTTACACTTACTATGCTTAAAAATCCCATCTCCTGAAGGAAGAGACCATCATTCTTCCATTTTACTTTATTAATGAAACAATATTGGAATGATTTCTCACTGAAGATGTAACATAAAACTTGCTTTGGTCTCACAATTGAAACCACACATAGAAATTTATATTTAAACATATGATACTTATTAACTTTAGGTACTTTAATATAGCCTTTAGATGACAAAATAGCATTGACCATTCATCCATCCTAGCAACAAAGTGTTTTTTTCTGGTGGTACTGGGGAATTGAAGTCACAGCATCATGCTTGCTAGGGAGGTGCTCTACTTCTTGAACCATACCTTCAGCCCAAAATTTAGTACTTTTTTAAAGTCAATTTTTGTTTTTTAAATTTTACTTTGTTTTTTTAGCTAGGTGGCTCACACCTGTAATCCTAGCTACTTGGAAGGCTGAGATAATAAGGATAATGGTTTGCAGTTACCCAGGGCAAGTAGTTTGCAAGACTTCATCTCCAAAATAACTGAAGTAAAATGGACTTTGGAGGTGTGGCTCAAGCAGAGTGCATGCATTGCAAGTGTGAAGCCCTGAGTTCAAACACCACCCATCCCTGCAAAACAGTCAAATTCTTATCTGGTAACAAATTCTACCTTTCTGGAAATGTAAGATTCAAGTTCAATGGTTTCAGATAAGTTTTGAACATATACCCATGTGGATTTTTTGCTCCTCTTAAAGTATATTTAAGGTATATTTTGCCATCACATTTATTAGAGTTTTCCAAAAATTGCAATGCAAACATTAAAACATCTACATATGGCTCTGTATTTTAATATTAAACATAATTCTAATCTTATACATGCAAAAAGTCCTTGACTTCAAAAACTATCTACTATATTTGTGTGAAATGTCTTTTGCTATAATTGCGTATTTGTTATCTTATATTCATTTGTAGTAACAAAACCACATTTTCAGCTGACATGGTGCATGTCTATAATCCCAGCTACTCAGGAGACCTAGGCAGTAGAATCCCAAGTTTGAAGCCAGTCCCAGTCAAAGGTAACAAGAGACCCTGTCTCAAAATCAAGCAAACGAAAAGAACAACAACAAAAAAAAGTGTGGGAGGAGCTCAAGTGGTAAAGAGCTTGCCTAGAAAGAGCAAGACCCTGGGTCCAATCCCCAGTACCACCAAAACACCCAGAACAACAACAAAAACCTCACCTTGTCTTCACTCTTGCTTTTAGAGTACAATAGAGCCACCAACTTGGAATGCTACACTATTTGTTTCTAAGCACCATTAGTTAGGGTGCTTTTTTTTTCCTAACACTTAAGTGTTCTTGATCACTTCCATTTATCATGTGCTTACTAGGGGTTTGTGTGGATGTTTTCCGCAAAACATCACCTTTTCTTGGTTGTTGTTTTGAGATGGAGTTGATATGTAGCCCAGGATGGGCTTTAACTCATGATCCTATTTCAGTCCCAAGGATATTGGGAGTACAGGAATGCACCACCATTCCCAGCTTACATGTCACTTCTTATCAAGCAAACCAAGTTGCCAGACTACCCTGCTGAAGGATCCTTGAAGATTCCTACTTTGAAGGTTAAAGATTGAGCAAATCTGGGAACCAAACCAGAATTAAGTGAAAGAAGAAAAGTACTCTGGGTAGCCACAACCCCAAAGGCATCTTGGCCAAACCTACTCAAAAATCAGGAAAGTACTCCTACCTTTTTAGGTGGATGCACCCTCATTGGCAAGACGTATGACCTGATGCAAGCAACAGGATGTATTTCTGCCTGCATTAATTTCCTTGGCTGGGGACCCACCTAAATAGCCCAACCTATGTAAACTCTATGTGGTAATCTTCCTACAACTTATAGCACTATTCCCAGTAATATAAAATTTAAACACTTTCTTTTGAAATCTGAGTACTCACTATGAAGGACTTAAGGGTGTTCTAAAAAGTCTAGTGTTTGAAGTAACAGTTCAAAAACAGTGTCCAAATAAAATTTAACTATAAGGTTTCACTTGTCTTTTTTCTCCTAATTAAATGCAACTAAGACAAAAAAGCAATAAACAATTAGGAAGCAAACAGTACCACTGCAAATTGAAGAGGCTGTTACTTTAATGTCAAAGGATCACAACTTTTTAAATATTTGGGAAATATAAATAATTGAAGGGAAAAAAAACAATAATTTTCCAAGTTTCTAAACCTGACAGACTTGTCAGAAAATGCTGCAATAGTAATTTACAGAGTAAATATGCTTGCACACATGCACTGTGAAGACTCTTCAAGGATTCTACTTAAGGTACTGAAAAAATAATAAAGCTGCTGAAAAGCCAGTAGAGTTCTCTGCTCAAATGCTCAAAATAACATATATCTGAAAGCATGTGAACTAATTCTACATTTAGAATCATAAAAGGATTTTTTTAAAAAGTCTCAAAAAATTAACCATTAACCTAATTTTTTTTATCAATGTATTCATACAATATTCAATAGCACCATTTTTGTAACCAAGAAAAAATGTAGTTAGTTGCAAATTCCTCACTTGTTTAGAAACATACTCAAAGGAAAATGTGTTCTTATCTATGAGAAAGTGGAAAATTTTTTCTTAACATTTGGATTTTTTTTTTGTGGTACTGGGGTTTGGACTCAGTGCCTACACCTTAAGCCACTTCACCAGCCCTTTTTTGTGATTTTTTTTTGAGATGGGGTCTCAAACTATTTGCCCGGGCTGGCTTCAAATCTTGATCCTCCTGATCTCTGCTTCCTGGGCAGTTAGGATCACAGGTGTGAGCCACCGGCACCCAGCCAATTATTTTACTAACAAGAACCAGATCAAGGAAATCTTCATATTTCAAAATCATAGTTCAATGTCATCCTTCTGTCATCTCCTCATACCAAATTAGAAGTCATTTTTGGAGAAATTATTCTCAAAGTTATTTATGAAGGTAATTAAGTAAAACTGGCAGAAAAATTATGGCAAAATCATTTGATTTGGTAGCCTGGTTAAGTTCTTCCTTCATGGCTTTTTAACAAAATACTATCATAGTCAACTGGGTCATCCGCAAGTGTCAATGTTTCTAGTAACTTCAAGAGTTCAAAGAAATCAGTATACTTTTCCTTTCTGTATGAAATGTATGTTTTTAAAGATAATGTGTTATCATGAAAATCTATCCTACTAGACAATATAGCTAGAATATCTAAATTTATAATGCTTAATTTATGACATTCTCAAAATTTCTCAAAATTTGTTTTCAGTGACAAAGCAAGTTGACATTCATTATGATTCTCAAGAAACAATTATGACCATAGTATGGAAAATGAGTCACAAGTTTATTCTATAATTTTTCTATAGTAGGTATTCAATTTTGTAGAAAATTATAAACATCACCTTTATTAATATTTATTACATATGGTTCTGTAAGCAAAGCTGGCAAAAAACTCCTAGAATTGCATATTCATAAAAATTTCAAGAATATGATCCTTATCACTTCAGAAAAGCATATATATTTAAGAACTAAAAACCAATAAAGGTAGAAGTTGAAGGGGAAGAGAAAAATGTTGACAACAGAGTATTGGAACTTCCCTCTTCCCAAATATCTAAAACATCACATATACCACTGTTTTCAGTATAACTTGTAAAACCCAAAAATTCTGATTTCTCTCCACTAGTCTGAAATAAGTCCAGTAGAGACTGTACTGGTGAACTACAAATTCTATTTTCTTCTTGTACAGTAAGAAGTTCAGTTCTTTTCTTATCTAATTCAGCATTTGGTTCCAGATTTTCTTTTCTGTTTCGTCCTAATAATATCCTTACTTTTCGATGGATTTTACCAGAAGGCAAATTATCCACATTCGTGATGTCATACTCACTGGATGCCTCAGAAGGACTACACGATGGAGTTTTTGCCTTTATTATTAGATGCTCTTTTGAACTATTTGTTGTTACCAAATCAGAATCATGCCCAAATATTGAATGAAGGTCCTTTTCCTTTAGATTGTTTGGGGGAAAAAGCACAGTATTTGACTTTTGTTTTGGTTGGGATGTACTATAATCTGCATTAAAATGAGAAACTTGTAAATACGTCTGTAGCTTATTTGGACAGTGATCTACCCTTAGTTCTTCTAAGTCATTTTTATTTATAATTAATTTATGTTCAGAAATGTCAAAAATGCATTCCTGTTTATTTATATGTGGAGGTAGCTGTGTAAAATTCTGTTTTATGTCATTTTCAGTTGCATGTAACATAGAACAGTCATTAATTCTTTTCTCATTAAGTTCTCTCAATTCACTTGAAGGGCAGGGGATAAGTTCCGAAATAAATGCAAGCTTTTGTTTAGGTTCCTGGGTTGCTTCATACAGGAAACTCTGCTTGATCACTTGTCCATTATTTTCCCTGAAGTCTTTCTGGGAAATACAGTGCAATTCTAGATTTTCTTTCAGTTTAGTCTTTTTCAGGATATTTGTAGAAACAGGAGAAAGGGATCCAACACTGTATTTTATTCTTTATAAAGAAAAAAGAAAAACATTAAAATAACTACTTTAGAAACTTCTCAGAACTTAAATTAGTAATATGTCTTCAAACAACTTAAGAAATTTACCTTAACTTAAAAAGTATCACAAAAATACAGGAATCTTAACATTTTGCCAAATTTACTTTAGATGTTTTTAAAGTTTTACAGACACAGCTAAAACTCTCTCGTACCTGTTGTCTCATCTACATTCTTCTCTCTCCCAGATAACCGATATCCTCAACTTGTTAATTGAAACTACTCTAATCATGTAATCCAAACAAAGATGATATTAAGAGATCTGTATCTGGCCCTAATTTTGTTTTTATTATTCTGAAAAAACCTCTTAACTTCTGTGGTCAGTTTATATTAATGCATATTTTACTCCTCATTTGTCTTAGCAATGTAGAGAATGAGTATTTATTGGGAAACCTAAGAGAGAAACATATTTTTAATTTATACTTAACAAATTTAATATCAAAGTGAGATAGAAATTTAGTATCTTTATACTTCTAAAGATAACAAATTAGTAATCCTTACATTTCACACAAATATTTAACTGGAAACCCTTTTCTTCATGGAACATCTTGATATTCTTAGGAGGCTAGTTTGTATATAATGTAGGGTTGTCTACATTATATACAAATAGAAGAAACATTAATAGCATACATGACACATATCACAGATAACAGTGAGAAATATTCAATTTCACCTGCCTCTTCAACAGAAGAGTTGCCTTTACAAATCTATTTCATTTATACTTTCAATTAAGATTTCCTTTGAACAAACTGGTGATAGGTAACTAGGGCTAACGATGTGGCTAGAGCACCTGCCTAGCATGCACAAGGACCTAATCCCCAGCACTACAAAACCAAACCAAACCAAAAGACATTAACACTAGTCCAGAATGGCTTTCTCCTTTTAGGTTCAGAGATGATCAGGAAACTGGCCAGAGGTAAAAATGGTGCAGATTTAAAAACAGCGAAATCAAGAAATAACCAGGCCATAAATTACTAGTGCAGTTTTTAAGAGAATTTTAAGTACTTACAGTAGCTCTACACAGATTTAATAGTTGGAACTATGGCAGTTCTCCAAATGCCATGTTAGTAAATCCATAATAAACAACCATTCTGAATGTTACAGAAATAAGAGATTTAAAAACTGTTTTAACTAGTCAAAAAACTTTCTAGTTAATTTTCAGAAGCCATCTTAGTGTTACATTTCTAATCTTTATACTCTAAGATTAGCCTAAAAATAGATAAAAGGACAGTCTATTGAGTTATCACTCACTGTAGGGTATATCCACATGAAAGCATTTTTAAATTTTTAAACTTATGAGGATAAGATAACCAGGACCATTCTGTTATCAACATGGAGTTATTGTACATTGAAAAGCATTGTATTCACACTTAAAAGTCCTGTCAATACTTTTTTAGTAAATATGATTCAGTAAAGTTTAAGTAGAAATATTTAGTGAAAGTATAAATAAGATTTAACAGAGGCAAATGGAAAAAGTTTTCTTTAAAAAAAAAATTCTTTATCATTAAAACTTTAAGCATTTTTAAATAGACAGTAAACATTATGGTTCTACACCAGGTGTTGAAAAACTATATAGGGCAAAATCTAGCCTTCAATCTGTTTTTCTGGGTAAAGTTTTATTGCAACACACACTAATCTACAATAGCAAAGCTGAGCTACAGAAACAGAAATAGTTTAGTTCCCAAAAGTTAAAACATTAACTATCTGGCTCTTTATAGATAAAGTTGGCAACCTCCTTTTCTAAACGAAAACATCAATAGGGAAACTAAAACTAATCTAAGGTAAGCATCTTTAGTAGTAAGAGAAAAGAGAAGGGAAGAAGGTAACCATATTTATATCCTGAAAATCCACATTCCAAGAATATATAAACTGTGGGATTATTTTTAGTGTAATAAAGTAGTTTAATAATCTAGTAAAATTTAAACCTTTGGTTGATAAATTACCTTTTCTTTTTAGGTGTGTCTCTTTCATATTCCACAAAATCAAAAACTAACTTAGATACAATATCATCAACAACTTGGTACTGGTTACTGTGTGCGAAGTTTCTGTGTTGCTCACTTACAAGGTGCTAAAACAAAACAAAACATACATCATAAAATTATATTTTAAAACTGACAATTTAAACTCAATAATATAAAAATAAAAAGATTAAAAAAGACATGTCAAATCTATAAATTCAGATTCAGTTATTAACATTTGGTAAAGAAAAAAAACCACTTACTAATTTAAATACATTACGTAAAACAATCTCAATGACTTGAAGTGGTTAAAACCCCAGAACTGCGCCACCCCCATCCCCAACTTTTTGTGTAGTTTCCCTCTGTTTGTTAAATGACTTCCTTCATGTAGGTAGAACTGAATCACTGTGAAGCCTAAGATGCAAAAAAAATAAAACGGTAATTTTTTTTTTTTGACCTAGAGTCTCATTATGGAGCCCAGATTGGCCTTGAATTCTTGATCCTTCTGTCTCTGCCTCCTCCAAGTGCTGAGATTACAGGTATGGGTTACACAGGCCCAGTATTTTTATTCTTAATGACTAAGAAATATATAAATGAAAAACTATAAAAGGTATGATCTTAAATTTCCTGTCTTTCATTTTTTAGTCCCAATATTTTCTGAGCATAAACTAGCATCATAAATCAGCATTAAGAAAAACACACACTCTAGATTAGTCTATTGTTACTATAGCCAAGTACAATTTCAGGACCAATCTATAGTAATAATTTTCAAAATGATTTTGAGGAAGATGAAAAATTTCTGAGATACTTCAGCTTCTGATTAAATGCAATTTTAAACTAATAGTATTTTTTTCCTTGATTATTTACTAAACTTCAAAGCAAAACACAAAATCCTGACAAGCATTAATTTTGGGTTATAAAGCAATCAAACTACAACTGCTGAGTCTGAAGTCAGAGACACTTTATGAATCAGCTCTTTTAAAGTTTTCTTCTTTAACATTCCCACCATCTTCTACTAAAACCAAACAAAACACCAAATAACCCTGTTTCTTTTTTGAGATGAGGTTTTGTTACATTGCCTAGGTTGGTCTGGAACTTAAGCAAGTGCATACTCAAGCAATCCTCTTGCTATAGCCCCCTACATAGAGGCTAATGTCTTCCACCACAGCTGGCTTTCTATTTATTATTTTAAAAGTTAACAGTTCAAGCAATAACAGCTAAGACATAAGCACTTACTACATTCCAAGCTCTGTCCAAAGTCACAATCAGAAAACCAGGATTCAAATCTGGGCAGCCTGGATCCACAGTTCCTACTCTTTTCATCAGCTTATAAACTATAATAGTTCCCATATTTACAGTTCTTTACTCCCATCCCATATGCCCTTGACTCATCATCTCTCATTCCCAATGTCTAAAGGCAACTCTTCCCAGCCCCACCTTAAAAACATACCCATAATCTGACCATGTCTCAACCACTTCTACCATACTTAGTCCAGGCCACTATCAAGTGTTCTTTGAATCTATCAACCAGTTCAGGATTTTTCCTTTTGCTTATTTCAAGATACTTAAGTTTTGTTACCTCATTTCTCTCTCTTCTCTACTTAAATGTTGCCTGATCAGTTAGGTACTCCTTGGCTAATCTAAGTAAATAACACCATCTCTATTCCTGTCTTGTTTTTTTCATAGCACCAATGTAATATTCTCTTATGTATACTTGATTATTTTTTAGCTTCTGGTTACTGATTTCTCTCCCTTGCTCCACAGAATGTAATCTTCACAAGGGTAGGGAATTCATCTCATCTGTTCAATACTATTCACCCAGTATAGTGATCAGTAGATAGTAAGTCTTTAATAAGTATCTGTTCAATGACTAAAAGCTATTTTTAATATTCATTTCCCTCCTTTACATTCTTTAGATGTTTCAGGTTAAAGATATAGGTCAATGATAAAGAGTGTTTATTAGTATAGGCAAGGCACTGGCTTTGATCCCTAGCATCACAGGGGGGAAAAAAAGGTTTTATCAAAGAGAAATATATACTTTTTTTTGTTACCCATTATCAAGTTGTAAACAACAAATATTACTCAGAGTTACAGAAACATCAATCTCTTTTAAATATAAAATCACACTTACAATTTCAAGATCTTCGTATTTCTGTAAGCAACATTCACAATATCCTTTTTTTTTCTTCTCTTTCAACTGGACTTGAATTGGAGTCTCACCATATTTATCGCCATCCGTCTGGATTCTGGTGAGAAATACATAAAATAAACCATTTCAAATGCTTGTTTATGAAGGAAAAACTACTTGAGATGATAACCTAATTAAGATTCCTTCTAAAAATAAAGATTCAAACTAACCTTAGTTTAACCTGAGTTTGCTTTTGGATGCTAGATGGCTTATCTACATCAAATGGACTGCAGGGCCTCTGAGTAGAATAGTTTATAATAGGCATATTGGTCAGCTGAAGATAAAATGGCCTAAAAAGTCTAAAAATATAAAAAGACAAACACATGAGCACTCTATGATGAAAAGTATTCTATAATTCATCTGGAATCTGAAATAAACAACAAAAATTGGGTAGGGGTCAGCTTCCCTCCCTGCCTTTTAAAACAATTAAAAACAAATTTTAAATTGTGACGAAATACATGTGACATAAAATTTATCATCCTAACCATTTTAAATTATACAGTTTGGTTGCATTAAGTATTCATAATGTTGTGGAACCACTATCCACCTCTAGAATTCTCACAAAAAGTGAGAAGGAACTCTACCCATTAAACAGCAACTCTCTATTCCCTATTTACATCAGTCCTTTGTACCCACAATTCTGTTTGCTCTTATGAATTGTGATTGTTCTACATGGTTCATGTAAGTGGGATAATGCACCATTTTCCCTCTACATTGGTTCTTACATAATGTACATTGCTGATAGACTGGGGTTGAGCCTGTCATTTATTGCTGTTTATATATATATATGTGTGTGTGTACACTACATATGTATGTATATAGCTATTAACCCCTTATTAGATATATGACTGTAAATTATCTTCTTTGTGTTGGTTACCTTTATACTGTGTTTGTCCTTTGATGTACAAATATTTTAAATTTCAACACAGTCTAATTTAATTCTTTTATTTTTTGTTGCCTATGCTTTGGTGTCCTATCTAAGTTGGCATTACATTGCCAAATCCAGTGTCATGAAGCTCCCCTGTGTTTTCTTCTAAGCATTTTACAGTTTTAGGTCTTGACACATTTATTTTTCTCTCTTTTTTTTTGGTAGCACTAGGGTTTTAACTCAGGGCCTTACTTGTGAGTGGCTCTCTTGAGCCACCCACCTCAGCCCTTTCTGCTTTAGTTATTTTTCAAATAGGCCTCTCTGTTTATACGCAGGCTAGTGATACCATACCTAGCTTTCACGGTTGAGATGCAAGTCTCAAATGGCCTTTATACTAGTACCAAAATTGTTCTGATTAGTTGTGGCACTGCAGGAAGTTTTAAATTCAGAAAGAGAGAAATCTAACTAACTTTGTTCTTTTGCAAGATTGTTTTGGGTACGTGACTCCTGAGATTCCATTGAATTTTTAGAATGTATTTTCTCTCTAACAACAAACAAACAAACAAAAAAACACCATTGGGATTGTGATAAGGAACTGCATTAAATCTGTAGCTCATTTAGGTAGCATGGATCTATACTTTAACAATTAAAATCTTCCAGTGCATGAACATGGATATCCCTTTCTGTTTACTGGTCTCTAACCTATGTTTTTGTTTGTTTTGAGATAGGGTCTTGCTATGTTCCAAGCTGGCCTCAAACTCAACATTCCTCCTAACTTAACCTCGTTCTGTAATTAAAGCATATACCCAGGGTCTCAATTTTAAATTAATATTTTCTTCACACAATCATTCATAAAAAGCAACTTTCAATATTACCTTTGTTCCCTGAGTGAGTACCCAAGAGAATTAACCACACTAGCAACTGATACATGGGAAATTAAGAGAAAGTAACACATTTCTCCCATTCCACATTAACTTATTTGTTCTATTGTTTTCATTGAAATACCCAAACTTAACAATGAGTTTGGAAAGCCACCATGTTTAGACTTTGTATTCCAAATAGTATTTAATATTTTTTCCCACAAATCCAAGAGCAAGCAATCTTAAGCAGCAGTTCTAAATCATATGACTGCATTTATACTAGAGAATAATTATTTGAAAGACCAAAAAATGAGTTTGGAGCTGGGCACCAGTGGCTAACGCCGGTAATCCTAGCTACTTAAAGAGGCAGAGATCAGAAGGATCGAGGTTCAAAGCCAGCCTGGGTAAACAGTTCTCGAACCCTATCTCAAAAAAAAACTCAACACAAAAAGGGTGGGAGTGGCTGAAGGTGAAGGTCCGAGTCAAGCCCCCCTACTACACACACACAAAAGAGTTGGCTTTATGATTGCTTCTTAACCAAAATACTTCATAGATCTACAATACGATGAGACTAAATTCGGTTCTTGAACACAACTGAATTAATGCTACATGTACATTAGAATATAAAGGAGCCTAACAGTATTAATGGAGATAGCTTAGAAAATTCTTCTTTAATACTATAAATACAGATTGGACATAAACACTTACTGGCTCATATCTTCCACCTTTACAAAGGCTTTTTGAGTCTCCTGCACAGGACGTAGAAAACAAGGTATGAGGTATTATGCAAATCAATGACTTTTTCCCCTATAAACAATACTATGAAAAAAACCCTCGTTCCCCAAACCTTACTCTTTTGAAATTTAAGCCTAAGGTGAAGTATTTTCCAACATCACCCCATTTCTATAAATACCAGAAGCTCTGTCCATATCAGAGATTCTTAAAGTGAATGCAGTCCAAAGGTATATGAACAGAATTCCATATTTCAATAAATTGGAACAGGAAAAAAACACTTTATTTTCACTAAACTATAAGTGATATTTAACATTTTGCTAATATATATATAAACACAAATCACATTTAGTATTGCAGACCGTTATTTTGATACTAATTGGAAACAGAAACATTCACATATTCAAAAGCATTTTTATGCTTATCCTTAAAATTACAAAACAAAACAAAACTACAATCACTGCTAGAATCCTCTAAATGGTATAAAAAAAGTACATATCATAATAAAAAAAACTACCTTGATAAATGAATTTTAACATAATTTTGTTGAATCTAATGAGTTTTAAAAATGCTTTAAAATTATTATGGGGGGGGGGAAGAGGGAAACATAGGCTTCACCAGACTATATTTACAGGTATCTGTGTTCTAAAAATGACATAGAAACCCTGAAATAAATCAGGGCCATGACACGATTTTAGAAATGCTTATGATTTACCTGTGTTTTCTGTAGTAAATCAAACACATTTATGAATTTCAAAATACTTAACTTTTGTTTTTTGTGTCCCAATACCAACTCTCTTCCCCTTTAAAGAAAAAAAAAGATGGCAGTGAAAATACGATTTGAAAGTACAGTGAAAACAGTAATGACAATTGTTCAATATCCTGAAGATAAAAAAAAGTAGTACAGGGAAAGTACTATATCAAACAAGGGTTTATTGTTTGAAGGGGAAAAAAAAAATCTTGTTTCTAAAAACTCAAGTGAGCCAAAGAAAAAAACAATGATTCTTGAGAACTAAAGATCTCAGTCACTGTTTAGAAATCAGTATTACAAACACCGTTTTTAACAAACACCCAACAAGTACTTTGTAGCTTTCACAGAAAGAAATCAACCAGTAAGAAAAATGACAAAGAAGTAGTCGAAAATTTATTATAGTCTGTCAGGTCAGGCTAATGTGAAATACACACCCCATAGGAATAATCAATCTCACTGATTACAACTAAAAACCGAATAACATTCAAATAAGCAGCTAGCTAAATACTTATAGTATTAGAAAAAGCAGGTAGATTGTGAAAGGGAGTTAAAACTAGATCCTTAGTCAATGGAGCTGGGAGCAGTGGCAAGATCCAGTGGTTAAAACTCCTATAGAAAGCATCTTTCGAGCTTTTGTAATTACTATACATAGGAAATTACCAGAACAGTAAGGGAAGGAGCTGCAGTGGTCCAAATAGTAACAAGGGATTTTTTCTTTTCTCCACAGATTTGTCAAAGGGTGGGCTCCAGTTGCAAAAGCTGCAATTGTCAAGGCAGCAAGTGCAGCTAAAATTGAGAAACTCTTACTTTATTATTAGAGGAACTAGAAAGGACCAAGTTACCAAAGGCAGAGCCTGAATTCCCTGAACCCATACCAGTG